TCACAATTCACCAGCTCTTTTTCTTTCTCTTGTCATCTCTGTCCCGACAAAAGTTGGATGGAAAAAAGAGCAAAGAAGGTTTAATGAGAATTGAGACCATTACCGAAAGAAAAATTGGATGACTTCCCCCACGAAGAGACAAATTCCGAGTGTCTTTTTGTAATCTGCCACTTGTCATGGAATAGTTGGTGCATAGATAAATTAGGTACAATTTGTCCTATCTCAATGCAATCCTTCTTGGGAGGAGCACTTCTACTATGCTATATAGCATTGGTGCTTTAATGTACAACTCAAAGTTGTACCATAACATAAAATGTATAAGTTTAGGTTGTACCATAAAAAAAATTATATCATAATGTTATGGTACAACTTTACAACTTGAAGTTGTACCATCACATAAAGGTAGAAGTTCAAGTTGTACCATAAAAGAATTTGTACAAAAAGTATAGGTACAATAAGAAGTTGTACCATAACGTAAATATACAATTTTAAATTGTACCATAAAGACAAAAATCTATAGCACCAATACTATATAGCATTGTAAAATTTCTCTCTTGGGAGTACTTTCTACAACTTTGGTTAGAAATGTAGAATGACTCTAACCCAAAACCAGAGAAAATAATACGAAAAATCTAATCTGTGCCGATGCAGAGAGGAGCGAGGAGAGCAAAATCTAGCTGAAGACGAGGGCCAGGGTCAATAGAGAAGGTTTGTGAAAGAACTGGGGATCACGATTAGGGTTCTTAGCTGGGAGGTAGTTATGTAGCGGGTTGAGAGTTTGAGAATAGAATTAGGGATTTGATGAGTCAAACAAGGGAATTTGAGATGAGAAAGAAGTAGAGGTTGGTTCCTGGGAGAGGGGAGTCCGACGACAATAAGCTACGAAAAAGGAAGAATTTCGGCTAGATGAGAGAGAAAGAGATAATTATAGGGAATAATTATTGTGTTATTGTTTGTCCTCTAATTCTCTCATATAACACCGAATATATATAATCTAACTAATTCCCTATAACAACCAGAACAATAAATTAGAACAAATAACCCTCAATAGTTTCCAAAATATTCCACCTAACATCCAAATGTCTTGAATAAGAAATAAAGGACAAATGAGTCCAAAATAATCGGTTTCTGACAGTTTGGGTACTTTCTTGTTAACGAGACAAAATGAACAAATTCATAAAGAGATGAGAAAAATGGAAGAAACTACAAGAGATGGATAAAATTACGTGACTTGATTAAGATTTTTTTAGCTGCATACGACTTCTTAAGAGAATGATATGACCTAATTTCATGTATTAATGGTAGTAAAACAATCACAAGGGGTAAATGACACATTTGGTCACTGAGATTACTAAATCGTGTCATATTTAGTCACTACAAAAATTTAATATCAATTTTGGTCATTCGAATTACTGACACAGGTCACATTTGGTCACTCTTCTGTAGCCTCTGTCCAACTCCGGTCACTCGAATTATTGAAAAATGTCACATTTAGTCACTCGTATTACTGAAACATGTCACATTTAGTCACTCTCCCAAAAGTTTCCGTCCAACTACATTAATGGAGTTGGACGGAAACTGACGCGAGAGTGACTAAATTTGACCAATTTCGGTAATTCGAGTGACCAAAATTGATATTAATTTTTTCTAGTGACTAAACATGACACAATTTAATAATCTCAGTGACCAAATGTGTCATTTACCCAATCACAAGCATCGAGCCAATAGAAATATGTATAAAAGATAAGAGATAAAGTATCCATATCATGGTACAAAATTTTAGTGCATATATCCTTCTTCATCGGTTAAACACAAAATCTCGAATATTAAGAACAATGTGAATACTGAATAGCAAGAGCAATCACCACTCCTAAGTCTTTGCATACATTGTAAAGCAAAATTCTAATTTTCCAGTTCATGGTGAAAACAAAGATCACTGCGAACAGTGTTGTTGGTCTGCAATTGCACATCTCTTGGTGTAAAAAGCCCTTCTCCATCAATATAATACCCCATCTTCAGCATTTGATTTTTGAGTTTCGCACACCAAAAAAGAACAATGTTGCAATAACTGCTTGTGAATCACAAACGTCTCGAGTCCAGAACACTCCGATCCATGCAGAAGGCTATAAACTAACCAAATCCAGACATCCCTCTTTGGAAGAGGTTTCCACTCATACTAACCAAAACTAGTTCCACCAACTTACACCTCCATCCACAGACACTCGAAGCAGGGAGATTCGATCTAACCCAAAACCACAACGTCCCGTGTGCTCATCAGCCTTCAAAAAAGTTAGTTGATCTTTGCCCTTGAGAAATCCATCTCTGGATGCTGGAATAACCAAAACCGATTACCACCAGGTTAGCAGCTAGGCGAGAATAAAGGTACTGGGAAAGCTTAGAGATTAGAGGTTTAATATTTGGCAGACTCACCTCGGCCATAAACTTCTTCAGAATATCCTGTTTCTGAATCTCATCGCTGGTTGGGCGGCCCATCTGCTTCTGCCTCTGATCAAACTGCAAGTATTGTTATGCACGAAAGACTAGTTAGAGTTGATCGAAGTACAGTGCTTCCTAATTCCTATTCAGAAATAGCACTCCCGTGATCACAACAGAGATTAGAGAGGGACTGGCATGTGGTTGACCACAGGATTATAGGGGTGGAGTAACGAATTAAAAGGGCACGGATAATTTACCATCATCTTCTCGACAGTCTGGCGTGTTTCAGGGTCCAGGTCAGCAAGCTTGCTGTTTTCAGGTTCAACCTTTTGTGTATCGATTTCAGGACCTCCTTTCACCAGAGATTTCCACCATTCCATTTGGTCGTGCTTGGTCAACAGAACTGAGATAGTGTTCTGATCCTCTGTAGACACCATAAAACTTAAATTAAGCAAACATGCTGAAGTGCAAGCAGCCATTTATAGCACCAAAGTACATATGTACATAAATGCCGTCACACACATACACACTCGACACAGGCTAACCAAGTTAAAAAACAGCACAAATATATTACTTTGGGACATTTGGCTACCTTTACTAATTCTCCTCTCTACATGCAGGGCAATGAACCTAATGGATCCATCGACTATAACTGGAGAAATAAGCCAACATAGACAGATAGGCAAAGGCCTGGTTGCAAGTATTTCAACAAAGACGAGGGTACGAGCCACTTTGATACTATTATTATCAGTGCAAGCCATGACACCTTCAGTATGCATACAATGGAAGCATAGCAAGCAAGTGATTCAACGGCTAAAAGCTCAGAAGGACATAGGGGATTGAAAAGTTCAACATACCTATGCTCCAGTAACAATCATCAACCTTGATAGGCTTGTAGAGTTCCCCCTGCAATATTCAAAAATTAGAGGAGTTGCAGAATGCAAAAAGGAAAACTATGCTCAAGTTTCCATTTATTAAGATTCTACCTCAAGAATTGGAGGCTGACCCTTGAGTCCGATTTTCAGGTGGTTCTTCTTTATGTCACAGACTACGAATCTTGACTTAGTCCCATGAGGAACGGGAACCAGCACGGTAACCTCTTGCAGAGTCTGAGTCCATGAGTAGTTGTCCATATCAAGTCCATTGCCCTTATTTGGGACTGTCGAAGTCATAACAAAGCACGACAAGTCAAGCCAAATACAAGCAGAATCAAGAAAGATACAAATCTTCGTAACCCAAGGCATACAATATGAAATGAAGTACAGAAGAAATTCTTGACAGCAGAACAGAAGAGATTGTCTCCAGACACAACAGACAACTTCCCCTACTCTAATCAAGCCACACAGGAACTATAATGGCATGCCTATATCGTCCTATGTTCAACCATTTTAGCTAGGCAGTCCTCGAATTCAATTCACAAACAGAGAAGTTTCACGAAGCAGCAAAATGCAGACTAAACACACACACACTGTCATAACCCTGAATCAAAAGTCCGCGTAAAGAAGACAACGATTTTACCTCTGGCGCCCTTCTCTTCCTCCTTCTCGGGCTTCTTCTTCTTCTCTTTCTCTTCCTCCTTCAATCTCTTGTTGCTCTCGGCAGCCTTAGCAGCGGCGGCCGCCTTCTCTCTTTCCGCCGCCTCCTCCTTCCTTTTTCGCTTCTCCTTGGCAGCCTTCACCACCGCCGCGATCTCCTTCTCCGCCGCGTCCTTGGAGAGGTAGTCGCTCTCCGCGGCCAGGAAGTCGAAGAGTTTCTCCACGATCCCTAGCGGATTGCTGGGATCGAAAGTGGCCGTGAAAGTCGAAGGCTGCGCAGGCGGCGAGGAGGCAGCCGACGACGAGGGCTTCGTCCCGCTCTCTTCTTCCTCGTACTCGGAGATCAACGCCATGGCTGATTCCCTTCGCTTACCTCGATTTGACTGCGCCGACGAGGGTTTAGCGATGTAGGCGGGAGAGATGAAGAGTGATTTGTTCTAGTGGTATAGTAAGGAAATGCAAGGAAGCTCAAGACAGAGATGTGGAGGATTCCAGAAGGCTTTTGCTTGTGGAGAGAGTAAGTGAGTAGCTATTTCATTTTACCCGCTAATTGCTTGTGGGCCTGACATACCAAATAAAAAGCCCAGTTTTTAAAAAAACAGAAGCCCAAATTTCATCAATCAAATACAGGCCCAAAAATTAGCTATATCTTACGTCAGAAACCCTCAGATCGTGTTATTTATTATTTAATTTAACACGATTCTTATGGATCGTGTCTCTGGATAAAAAATTAGCTCTATATTCAATGTGATTTAATTTAACACGATCCATAAGATATAATATTTAATCAAAAATTAGCTTTCTTATTATTATTTAATTAACTAATTGAATATACCTCTGGATTACTGGATATGATAAGCAAAGCTACATTGGGCCCATAAACTTTGATCCAGATACATTAAAACGAAAAAAGAAAGGAAAAGGAAATTTCGATCTCTTCGTTCTCAAGTTTACCGCCGCATCCTTTTAGTTCCTCCTCTCCCGCCTTCGTTAATCGTTAGGTTGGTTACATACTTGCATTACATCCGTATGTCGAGCTACGGCCATGGCGAACGGGAACTGCACCACGGTTTGCCATTCGCTGCTAATCCCACGAAACGTCGTCGAATAAGCTCAGACGGAAACCCTCCACCCCGTCTAATCAGCAAACTCGGGGACGATCTCCTCGTCGAAATTCTCATTCGCGGCCTCCTAAACCCTAGATTCGCCTGCCGAAGCAAACTCGTCTGCAAGCAGTGGAGCTCCCTGATCTCCAGTTCCTGCTTCAACCGCCGTTTCGCTGCTCGCCATCAGGGCAAGGAAGAAACGCCGCCATCCATCTCGAGCTTTCTCCCTGTGCCCGGTGAAGCTAGACGGTCGTTGTGGGTTTTGGATTCCTTCGAGGACTTGCTGCTATGCGGGTTTGCCGGGTTCGATAGAAACACCAATGGCGAACTTGGTCTATCATACCTCATCTGCAATCCGTTTACAAAGCAATGGATTGCCCTGCCTTTAGCGCCTGAAAAGTCATTTGAGCAGTGTCCTGAAGTGGTTGCCAGGTTAGTTTGTGAACCCCGTATCTCTAAAAATCTTGATCTAGGCGATGGCCAAGCAGCATTTGTTTACTCCGAGTATCGGTTCCGGGTGGTGTGTGTATATACATTGGGGATGTCAACGATGCTGGACGTGTTTTGTTCCGAATCTGGAGAATGGACCAAGAAGGCTCTCGTTCTTCATGGTTATCAAGAAGAGGTTCGACTGAAGCCAAAGTCCTGCAACGGGAAGCTGTTTTGGGCCTATGCCGCCCTGTTGCATGTTGGTATTGTTGAGTTCAATCCTTTCCGCTTCGATATACCTCCTGTGTTTATTCATGACGATTCGATCTTCGAGAGACCTGCTAAATCGTGGGGGTTTTCAGTCTCACGTGGTGCTTTGCATCTAATTCAACTCGAAACTGAAACTACACCTGGTTGTTCAAGGAATGCCCTGATTGTTTGGAGATTGGAAGATGACCGGAGATCTTGGAAGAGACAACATGAAGTCTTGCTGAAGACAATGTGGCATGGTGATGTGCCCTGCAACATTGAATTTGATCTGCATCCAGAGAATCCAGAAACTGCCTTGTTAATACTTGGTCATTATAGTGGTAGGATCTTCTCCTGCGATTTGAGGAGCGGAGAGCTAGAGCAACTAATCACTACGAGAAGAGCTTATGAGCGTGGTTGGATGCTGTTCCAGCCTAGGTTTTCTTGCTGGCCTACTCCGATTCCAAGTTACAAGGAATTGCGAGGTTTATATGATGGAAGCTACAGCTGTTGGGTTCAGCAGAGCAGCGATGAAGCTAAATCTCGCTCAGCAACAGGTAACTACTTCTGCTAGTGAGAATTTATTTTCCAGTAGATGTGTATCTGCTAGGGTTTAGGTGTTCACTAAATGAAAAGAAGGAAGTCTGAAAGAAAATTTTCCTTAGTGAACATCCTTCATAAAATCTAGTCTCCCCTGATAGGATAACGGGAGCAGTTTCGTGGCTTGCTTACTAGTTACTTCCTCCATTAACATTCTATATTATGTAGCACATGTATGCATGCCCCTCTTTTGTAATAAGTGATAATTTTGTCGTGCTTGCAAACACTTCACCCTAGCTTGTAATATGAAGTCATGTACAGGGAAGTGTTATGTATATTCTCTCTAATTTTCGTTCTATTTTCTGGTTCCTAATCTTGTGTCTGCTATTTTTATCCAGTGGATGGTTTAGTTGCTGCACCAACACAACGATACCAATCAGTTGATGGGATTGAACAATCTGGTCATCAGAGGAAAGACAACATATCTCAGCTAGGTAATCTGGAAACTTTTACTGCTGATACTCTTTGTCACCCAAATTAGAGTCTCGTGGCTTACCAAGTAGTTTGTTCTCAATCTTGTGCCAAAGAGACCAAAGGTGTAGAAACCCAATGTGGGGGAAGAAAAAACACTATTAGCTAAGGAAAATCAATGGTACATCTAGTTTTGCTTCGTTTATCTATGCAGCAGAATTCCAGCCGTAGCTTGTTTGATGATCAGATATCGAAATCGAGCTGGTTCAACAATTTTTCTTGACCTATTCTATCACTATGATTATCTATATTGTTTCTATACAATTATGTTCAAGTTCGACAAAATGATAATTGCACAAGGCTCAGTGTAAAACCGTAATAATTCTGATCTCCCTTTTTTCTTAATTGTGTTTTCAGTAATAGATGGACTTGGACTTCAACAGGCTCGCCAAGAGGTTCAGGATCTACAGTCCCGCCTGGAGAATGTAAACAGGGCCATTGTTCAGCTGCAAGCGTCTACAGTTTCGGCATCGACAAACAAGGATCTGAAGCTGTTGCATAAAAAGAAACGCAGAGTTAGTTCAGATTTGCTAACGGCCACAGCAAACTGCGAGATGATATCTCGTCTCCATCAAAATCTTCCCTTGGATCCTATGCACATTTCGATTCCTGGTGTTGGTGAGCTAATCGTGCCACCTGAAGATCATGATGAATGGTGATGGTGGTTGTTAGGGCACTCTGCAATTTATCATTATGTAACAGCTTCAGATCCTTTGAGGTCGGAGCTAGGTTGAAGCTAGGAGGAGCTAGTCGATAAGGCTCTAATCTCTCTCCCCTGATTATCACAATTCAAGTCAGCACTCCCTCAAATTTCTGGTTCCGCCACTACATGAAAGTAAATATCGGTGAACCAGACAATCCTTCAAATATCGGAAGAACAAATTATGACTAGATATGTGCAAGTTGTGGAGGAGTTAGTTTTTCAGCTCTTTCGATTTGTCATGTTGACTTAGAAGCAAAGTTGTCATACCTTTTTGAATCGGTGTGTCGGCGAATCAAAAGATTTGTCATGTTTATTGGTCGAATCGAGATTTGACCGCTTTAAGCCGGTACAAACAGAAACCCATGGGCCCAAATGGCTACGAGTCCAATGCGTACACAGTACACCCACAATGGCCGATCAATTACTCAAGAAAAAGGCAGTCCCGCAAATTTCGTTTATTAATTAGGTGCCGGAAAAGAAAGCTGCAAACAAACGGCCGACGATCTTTTTGCCGTCTTGAAAACTTGCCACAAAAACAAACATATATCTAAACCTTCACGTAAAGTAAACGACAATGTCTCGGAGATCAAAGTTAGCGTATTATATAAAAATCTAATTTGGTAGCCGCCGTTAGCTGTCCATCTCTTTGCTTCTTCTCTCCTCTTCTCTCATACGTTTGGAACAATGTAACCTGTCACGATAATAAGCAAAATTTCAACACACACAAAACAACAAAAAAAATTAATGAAGTTAGTCTGTTGAAATTGACATCAGATAATTGAATCTAATTAACGATAATATATATCAGCGGCTCAAATCATTAACCATTTATTTCATTACGTAAGAAATTATATGCAATTTGCAACTCGTATTAATCTAGACCGCGTTGTATTGACCTGTAATAAAACACGTATTAATCGCCCCAATTAAATTGATATATGATATGTGTTATAACTAAGTTAAATCCGAGTATAAAAATGCGTCGTTTTTAAGCGACCAAGGACTTGATCATCTCGCGGTTAAACCGTTAGTCTTCGAACTTGAGGTTCCAAATACGAATCTTTATCAGTAGCACCTAATATTAAAAACTGAATTTGTAGGTATTGTTTGACGTAAATAAATCATTAGTTTCTTACTCGCGCATTTGGTGCCGGGGCGAACAGTCTTGCCGCAGGAGGCGAAGACGCCGACCACCTTCCCGACGTCGACGAGGTCCTCCATGTCCCTCGTGATGTACGAGCACAGGCACGGCAGCAGCTTCGCCTTCCGGACGGCGTCGCAGCACTCCGCGGACGGCTCGTCGAGCGACGCACCCGTCTTCGAGATCAGCCTCGCGCACCGCCGGATCACGTTCCTCGACTGCTCGTGGACGCACGATGACGTGGACGTCGACGTGGACGACGACGGGGACGACGATGTCGACGTGGACGACGACGGAGACGAAGGCCGGGTGCAGGTGGTGATCCTGACGGCGGCGGCGCGGCGGATGTTGTTGTCGGAGTGGAATATGAGGAGAAAGGAAAGCAAGAGCGCGGAGATGAGGAAGGGAGAAGAACTGAAGCTGCTGCTGGCGGCCATATTGATAAGTTTTGATTACGAAGAGGAGGGGGCAGTGATTAGAGAGAGATATAATTGTTAATGGTGTGTTTATGTGATTATTATGATTCTTATGAATTACGTGTGTATATTTATATGGTGAGAGTTCGGATTAATGACTGATTAAATAATTGATTACTAGAAATCAAGAGGCGTTGGTGGTAGTTTAATTTGGCGTGAATGGGGTTCATGTAAAGGGTATCCGATATCGATGGCTGGTAAATTGAGAGCTACGTGATGAATGTTAGGAAGTTATTAATTTGTGAATGGTCTTTGCATGTATGCCTTTTGCACACTTAGATATTTAATTTAGACTTAATACGATATAGGGATGAAAGATAATGAAATGACAAACGTACATTTATATTTAGAAATAGAGCAAGTAGTTTGTTGAGGCCTTTTATTAAGATGGTTACAAAATTTTACAATATAGTGGATATGCTATATATGTATCGCGATATATCAAAACAGTCTTTTTCGTGCGAGTAATTAAAAGCTTGGTTCATTACCGCTGGTATTGAACCTAGATGTTATATGTTCGAATATCTTAAATAACACTATATCACTATTTTTTGGTAATCCGTTACTCACTAAAAACTTATGTAATCATTTTGATCAATTACCCCTTTCAATTACCATTATTCAAATCTTCCTTTTCTTCTTCTAACTTTCCTTCTACGTCGCTCGAATTTATGATTTTGTCACGATTTTGAAGACGGATAGAATAGAATCTTTTTATTGGCTCGATAATTTGACCGACTAACTTTTCATTAACGGATAAGAAATCTTCAATTCAATATATTAAAAATATAACTTTGTCAACTCTTATTTATGATTAAATTCAATAATTACGATTGAACCTCCACCTTATGCGTCACACAATACTCTCTAATAGTTTACTTCATGCATGCGATCAACGTGCACGTAATTATTTACGCACATATTCACCGACTTATATTACATAGCAATAACCAATAACCCATGATACGACGTCGTGTATAGGAAGTGCGTCGTAGATATCTTTGATCACCGATCCCCTTCACTCCGTCCACTACCTTCCAACGACGAAGCCCTTCAATTGTTGACGACGAAATCTGACAAACCAACAAACAAAAATGAATGTCATCACATCATCTGTTTCAATAAACATAGGTGTTTTTGTTATGCGACTGTTTTTTCGGTAATACGAGTAATCTTTTGATTCAAAAAAGTATGACGTACGCACCGCCGCACTTGGTGCCCTTGGGGATGGAGAGGCCGCACTTCCTGCCGACGTAGACGACGTGGTTCATGTCCAGCAGCGACTGCACCTCGGCGGTGAGGAGCTTCTTGCACGCGCAGCCGACGTCGGCGCCCTCGATGTCTTTACAGCACGGCGGCGAGGGGTCCTGCTGCTCCGACCCTTTCCACACGTAGTCCTTGCAGTCGGTCGCCACGTCGGGGATGTTGACCCCGCACGCGTTTTCGTCGTCGGCGGCTAGCGTCGTAATTGCCAGGAGAAGAAGCAGCAGTAGAGCCGCCGCCGCCGCCAGAACGACGCCGGATGAGGAGGAGGAGGAGGACTTCCCGGTTATAGCCATCTTTTTTTTTTTTTTTTGCTGAGCAGTTGGTGGATTGTGTTTTTAAATTAATTTGGGTTTGTTTGTTTGTTTGATTGATTAATAATGTAGGGATGTTTATAGCGTGGAGGGTCTGGTGAAACGGGACGAGCGGCGTGTTGATGATGAGGGTGCGTAGTTGATTAGGGTATTGTGGTCACGAAGATGGAATTGGTTTGGATTAATTACTTGGGAGAATCGGGTGAAATTGGTATAGGATGGAATTAGTGATGAAGAAGATAAAGAAGAGAATGGAAGGTGGTGGTGACTGAAAATTTTGGGTTTAAAATTATACTTTGATGGTGGAAACTATAGGGAGAGTGACCAGATGTGACATGTTTCAGTAATTCGAGTGATCAAAATTTATATTAATTTTTTTTAGTGACTAAACATGACACGATTTAGTCATTTTAGTGACCAAATGTGGCATTTACCTGTTTAAAATAATAATGGATGGATGATGATTTAGTGTTAAAAAAATATGGCGGGCAAGAAGAAAAATAAAAAAAAAATGTATCTAGTTAGACATCAGATCTGCAAATATCTTGTATATTTTATTTTTCATATATGAACTATTTTTTTTATTAGGGTATTTATGAAAAAGAATATAACACGTATTTTTTCTTTCCCTTAATTTTTTCGACTTAAATCGTATGTTGTGAAAAGTCGTTGAAATTCGAGGACATGACAATTCTTTAATAAAGATGTACGTTTCCATCAAATACCAAATGAGTCGAAGGTGCTTCTTTTTTATTATTTTTGGTTTGCGATTGAACTATGAAGTACGGAAGTACCCACAACTATAATTGCAAAAAGAAAAGGAGGAAAACAATAAGCCAGGCTACAAAAAAATGTCGAATGCAGCACCTAAAAGGTACAAAACAACACCTCAAAAAGATATGGAGATCCTATGTTCGAGTCCTTAAGTAATACTTTAATTATAAAAAATGGAATTTATATCACCTTAATAAAAAAAACACCTCAAAAAAGGACAACAATGTTTTGTTAATTAAATTAGGAATCTTTTTATGATGGAGAAATCATTGTGAATTTGCGGACGATATCCATACTGAGATCGGAGTTGTTTGCCGTAATATCCGAAGGCTACTCAGGGAGACAGGGAATGGAACATGGCAGTACGTTCCAAGAGAAGGAAACATGGCAGCACACATCATGGCCCATACTGAGACCAGATGGAATGAGAGGGAGGTTTGGTTAGATAGACCCCCTATGATCCTTGTTGATCAGCTTATATTGGATAATGTAGCCGTGACGTCTGATCAGTTTTATACAGATTCGATAAAAAAAAAAAAAAAAGAATATCGACGGTCTATCAACCCAATCTTCACATACTCCTTCTGTTACAGCTTTACAAGCACCTTTCACATGTTCGTGCGTACCTTTCATTAAATCGCAATGCACCCCAAAGGACCTTCAAATTTACAACACTTCGACTATCCTAACTAACAATGCACACAATCAGTGAACAGTTGATGTAACAAGTAAATGCAGCATCCATAGCCAAGTTGAAAGCTCGGGATTTCAATTCAACACTATATTTGGATTTGGGTGATATCTACAAAAAAGAGTTTTTATCATATGGTGACACAATGCCAACTATAGTCCCTTCCTTACTACAACTTCCATTGCAAATTCAAATCCCCCTGAAAATACAATCAAACTGTAGTACTGGTGAAGCCTCCACCCCAAACATTTAGGGGAGACAAATTGCCAGAAGACCTATCAAGAAATGAGGAGGCAAATGATACAAGAGCCTCTAGGGGCCTCAGGTGGCAAAACTCCATCTTGATGGTTTTGTTAGTAAACCCATCCGGTTCCAAATGCTCTCCGTCGGATATCCGAAAGTTGCATCGCCATGGTGTTCTCGTTACAGCGTTAGCGAGTCAGAAGTCCACATCTATCTCTACCTCCCAAGTTAGATTCAGACGGAGAGATCAAGGGTTTCCCTTTCATCCGTCGTCCATAGCAAGCGAAGAATCCGGATTACCATCAGTACTTGCTTCGGTAGGATGGTGAGTGCTGCTATCTAGATGCACTTCCATTGTGCTATTGGCGTCGGCGTTATTTTCTGCATCTCCGGAAATTTGAGGTTTGTCGCTGCTGCTCCTCGTGGTTCCCACCAATGGGCAAGGAGGATGAGTGCTGCCATCTAGATGCACGTCCCTTGAGCTATTGGGGTCGGCGTTATTTTCTGCATCTCCAGAAATTTGAGGTTTGTCGCCGCTGCTCCTCGTGGTTCCCACCAATGGACAAGGAGGATGAGTGCTGCCATCTAGATGCACTTCCCCTGAGCTATTTGAGTCGGCGTTATTTTCTGCATCTCCGGAGATTTGGGGTTCATCGCTGCTGCTCCTAGTGGTTCCCGCCAATGGGCAAGTAGGAGGGTTCCTTTGCCGACACGAGTGGCAACGGAATCCAATGACCATGCCAATGTTCTCGGGATCAAGCCCAAAAGCATCTCCGTGATACCATACTGCATCAGAGGAACAACAATTTGCATATCAACACAACACCATAATCAACAGTTAAAAGTGGTATCAAGAAGTTGAAACAAGTATATTTTCTGCTCACCGTTGTTAAAACATAGCTTTTAGTTAAGCAAGACTGAAACAAACACACCAATAATAATGCAGTCAACAGTGTAATGCTATCAAATATGCGGGAGCAAAACCAACTAACCTTCACAAGACTCGCAAGATATATAATTAGATGTTGATGTACTTGCTTCATCGCACAGACAGCATTTGGGTTGAGGATCCAGGACGCCACCCTGAGAAGCAGAAAAAAACCTAGAGTTCCGAAACTGTTCGACTCGTTCGTCCTCTGGCTTAGCAGACAGTAGAAGACCATTAAGCCAGTAACTATGACGAGTAAACGATCTCTTCTTCTGCCAAAGAGGACCCTCTTCTGTTTTCTTCAGGGAAACTTTTTCCAAATTCAGTTGCTTCCTCTTTTCATCCCCAATGACATTTTTGTTTGCAGGTGCTTTGGAAGTGGTTGCCTGCCGAGCTGAGCGACGCAAAGGAACAACTACTGCGGGAGACTTATCATCATCATCCTTCATACGAGGGGGCCGACCCCTTAAGCTCTTTCGAGGAGAAGCCGCCTTTTGATCGTCCTTAATAAGACGTGGCCTCCCCCTTGGCCTTTTTAATCCTGTTCCAGGAGGAGCCGCTTTCTGATCGTTCTTTATGAGCGGTGGCCGCCCCCTTGGCCTTAAGCCCATCCCAGGAGCCGCCTTTTTGTCATTCTTTATGAGCGGAGGCCGGCCCCTTAAGCCCTTTCTGCCCCTTCTAAGGCGGACTGACCTGCGAGCTATGGATACCTTGGACTTCAACTGCTGAACCTTGGGACTCACGGTGACAATTTTCCTAACTTTTGGGCGACCCTTCCCTGCTTTTTTGCCAATCTTTAAGAGCTTCCCACTCAAGCAACGGTGGCATGTGTATGAACACTTTTCACGACTGGAAGCGCCAGACTTTCTAACATGCCTTTTATGGAAGAAATCTGAAGGAAAGAGAAAAAAAAACCATAGGCACAGGATGAGAAGAGTAGACGAAGGCAAACTCGAGCATTTAAAAAATCCATTGATAAGTGTCTGCTTAGTGCTTACCCTTGCAATATTGACAGCATACAGCCTCACTGTGAAGCAAGCAAAACCGGAAACCAAGAATGGAGTGAGCATCAAGAAAGGATAAAATAAGAATCGCAATAAGGTAACCTATAAACAACATTTAGAAGCTCTCGTAGAGAGGAAAATAGGGTGTTTAGGAAGAATGGGGAAGCTTAACTGGTTAAATTCCCCTACCAAAAGGTAGCAATATTTAATGACTTCAGAAATGACACCAAAAGATAACAAAATTATACCTGCTTGGAACATCCTTTTTACAGTGTCCACATTGATGGAACTCAGATTTTTCAGCTCTTGCGAAAAGATAAGAGAATCCTCTTTTCTCTGAGGCTGATTTCCGAGTAGCATTTTCCTCAGAGAGTTTTCCAGAACTCGTCTTACTAGATTTCCGTGCAACCCTTTTCTCTTCATAATTTTTCAGCAAATGCAAGGGGACAAGGCTTTCACTCAGCCAATATTTCTTCCTCTCGTTGGAAGATTCTTCAACAACAATAGACCCATATTTAGAAACGACATCAGGGATACTTCTCCTTTGGCCAAAATCAAGAAGATACTTCGTGCCACCTCCCTCAGCAGCAGACTTCCTCCGCACAATCACCTTCTTGAACAGCCTGACTGCCTTTTTATATTCCTTATCTACTGCCGACAATGAATCCCAGTTCTCAATTTCGTCCCACCTGATGTTGGAATCAAGCTCTCTGACCTGCAAACAAGTAAGAAAGCATACTCTTAAATAAAAGTAATTCAAGTTTGATTACTTTACTTCTACAATGAAAGGCAATGCTACATTGAGCAAGAGACTGTCCTATCCCTCAAGGCTTATTAGGATGAATTAAAAAGGTAAAACTACTACAAGGACCAACGCCTCCTAACCCCATATGAGTGTATAAGGGACACATATTCCCAGGTGTATCGTCATTATAGGCGATAGAAAAGGCTGTCAAATGCAACTTGTCGTCCATAAATAGACAGATGGCACAAGAATAAAAATGTAGATCAAACACTTGCGTGACGCCTGAAAAGGAAGATAACTTCCTACATATGAGATAAGTGATCAAGAGGACTTTGATGCATCAATTTAACAAACCTGCAAAGCAAGTAGTTCTGCATTTGAAGATGACTCGACAGCAGCTCGCCAAGCAACAGCTTTGCTTCTCTTTACAAAATCTGAACTCTCGGGGTACAATATCCCAGGTATCCTAATGCCACCACCTGCAAAATTATCAAACTTCAAAATAAATTCAGAACAATTACTCGGTTGAGAAAGCTGCAGATATGTAAAACCCCGGATTGAAGAAAGGTTTCAGACCTTGCCTAGCAGCCTTGGACGCCAAGGAGACGGGCAAAACTTTCCAACTAAATAATTTACGTGACATTTTACCACCTCTCCACCAAAACATACACAATCCACTAGTTTTATTTGAAGGACCAGACTCAGGTTCTGCAGAAGACCTGCTGCGCTTCCTGGCAACCCCAGATTTAGATGACATGCGTTGTGCAATCACAATATGGGAAGATGAGCCGAGTACAGCAGAAGAATCTACATGTTTCAACCATTCAGTGGAAATTGCACGTTGATGGATGCTTGACTCTAACTGCTCAAAATAAACCACAACCATTAGTACAACATAATTAAACAGAAGCCACCCAAGATCTTCTTGGGATTGCTTGGGCTCTTACAAGGAATGAATGAACACATTCACTTTGGAATTTCCAAATAAGAAGCATAGAAGGCAAGGGTAACACTGCTTATTCGCCATCATCCAGAACAATATGTACTCCAAAAATTTCAACCCAACCAGAGTTCAGTTGCGAGTAAGCAAACCGTCTATGTCTAGCATTCACTTAGGGATTTCCAAATTAGAAGCATAGAAGGCAAGACTAACACTGCTTATTCGCCATCATCCAGTACAATATGTACTCCAAAATTTTTAACCGAACCAGATCTCAGTTGCGAGTAAGCAAACTGTCTACACTACAATATTTTTTACACTAAATATGAAGTAATTAATTCATCCCTTTTGCAGGGACAAATATAGAGATAAGTGTGAATCAAATAATCAACTAGAAGTTAAAGAAGAAACCATGAACTATTACCTTCAGGAGTAAACATTTCACAGATGCAATATCTGATGCTTTGAGAATGTTTTCACGCCAGAGACTGCTATAATTTGGTTTCAGCCATGGACCCAACAGAAGCCCCTGTAACCGATCTTCGAAGGAAATGATGTGTCCTACTACATCCATAAGATGACCATTTTGGTTCCTTTTTGATTGAAGCTTATCAACTTCCCTTGCTGATACATCCATGGAAGGGCCAAAGCTCATAGTAAACAAACAATCCAGATCATCCATTGGAGCCCTGCACAAGAAGCACCACCCACATTTCTCCTTCTGTGCCATTGAATTAGTACTTTGAATATTTGGCCAGCGTAACTTTGGAGCACTTTTCAGAATAATCTTCATCTGAGCCGAAATCATTTCTTCATCTGATTTTGCTGGCCCGTCCACTGTTTTATCTAATGACTTGGGCATCAAGTCTTCTGCAACTCGAGAGGCAGTTTGACCAAAACTGTAGTAGTTGATGTAGTTCACAGCAGAGGAATGTGCATTGCTTTCCAGGTTTTTACCCACGCAGATAGGATTATTAGACATATCTGCAGATTTTGTAGAACAATCTGGCCCTTCCTTCTGATAATTTTGATTCACTGAACCAATTTGAGTGGTGACAGCTGATCCTTCAGAACTCATATATGTC